TTGATGCTGTATTAAAATAGGAACTAAATACGATAGACGGCCGATTGATATTATATTCCAGATTAATATACTTATAATATGTATGTGTAATATGTATTCTATCCGTTTCCCCAGTATCCCATAACTCAAGCCTCACAGTGCTTACTTTTGGGGCTAAGCTCGGCTTATTTACGATAAAATGAATACTGTTACTGCGGTCTTTTATAAGGTTTTAGAAGACCACGGTAAAAACACTGAATTTATTCGTTGTATTTCTGTTGGTGATTAAGGTTTTAAGACCCTACGTAGTCGGAGGAATTACAGGTTGGCTAGAGAGATACACTTTTTTGACGCTTCAACTTCCGCCTGGACTCCATCACTTACACTCCTCATGTGGGGTATGGTACTTCGCAGTGCCTTGTTTAAAAACATAAACATATAAATATTATTCTATATTATTTTTGTTATTATCTTTAGGTCTTTAAATATTATTTTTTGAAAAAGCACCTGGTGCACTAAATACATATTTGAGTCTAGTTAAAGGGACCTATCGTAAATGTTTTAAAAATAGGACCTACACTAGGTTCCAATAAAAAGAAATATAATGCCACAAGCTAAGGATGAATGATTAAATTTATGGAGACGTAATAAAAGTTTCACTTTAATAAAGACCCACTTGCCGCTATCGTATTGGAGATCTACAGGTTGCGTCTTCAAGAACCTCAGATTGTAGGATGGAGGAAGCATGGTGCATGCAGAGAATTCTAAAAGCCGAAATTTTTCGCATTGGAATAGTAACCGACCACTTAAAAGAGGGGGCCTTTTCATCTCGACGTTTCAGTCATATTACACTGACTATTATTACGCGGGGTTATGGGTCAGTTACCCACATAATTATGTTAGCAATATTTTCCTTTTCTCCAACAGTAACTTTCCATACTGGATTTTGCTAGTTGGATGCCCAGAAGGTCTAGGCATGATTGTTCCTAGCCAGTATCTATAATAGCCATTTTTGTCATATTTATAGCTCATAGGACTAATTTAAATTGCGTTATGCTATCACGTATAGTGGAAAACGCGCGGGTGCATCGCTAGAGCCAATTAGGGCGGTGCAATTATGGCAAGTCGCGGCAGTCGGGCGGTGGGTCAGCGATTTCCCGGCGTCCGCCGCCGTCGCCGACGCCTGGCGCCAAAGCGGTTGTGTAACGTTTAAACGTCCGCTCAGGGCTGCTATGTGCGAAACACTTGACGCGTTTATGCTAGGCAGCTGGCGAAACAACATAAAAATGTAGATACTAGTGTCGATTCTGGCACGATTCTCTAAAGCTAAACTTAAATTTAAAACAGTGTATCCTTGTCATTCTCTATACAGAATGAAAAGGAGAGACTGATGTTAAATTTTGTTTTAAGTGTAGAGAATCACGCCCGAAATGAAACCACTGAAATGTTCTTTTGTTGGGACTAGGAGATTTGGTAAATCATATTTTTCGCTTTAATCTTACAGTTTAAAGATTCATAGTTCCTGGCAAGCTCTAACGTCTAGCCTTTCTTCTGCGTAGAATTGCTTTCTAGTATATACCCATATTTATACGAAAATAACATTCTTTGTAAATGATTTAATGTTTTTTTACATATTAAGCTACAGAAGTACAGTATGCGGAAGATTTCTTATACCTTTCGACTTAATTAATACTAATAGATTTGTATATAAAATTATTGTTGTAATAAAGCAAGCGATAAATCCGCTTCGTTGACGTAAAAATCAGTCGTCCCTAGATAGGTTTTTAAATTTTCATGTCTGTGTATTTTTAAGCTATTAAATTTCTCTGGCTGACCTAATCCAGATCGTACTACTTAATGCATGCATGTTCTCACCAAAATAAGGTTTTATATTTAATTGAAGCTATTGAGGCCAACATAAATAAATTATATTATATTCACTTAGGGTTCAGGGAAGGTCCCCCTGCTGGATTGGGAGCGCAAGAAAAACAGAATGCATATCAAACGACGCAACGGCATATTCAGAAAATGTTGTAAAGAATGAAAGAATTCAATGGGCTGACAAGCTAACCATGTTTGTCTATGGCAGTATTGGTTTTATAATGCGAATGGTAAGTGAAGATGTTTGTGTGATGAATAGGGGCATTTTTACTCCAGTCATGGCTGTTTAATATGTATTTCTATATAAATATACTTATATATGTACAGTATATGTATTCTATCCGTTATTTATGCAAAAAAAAACACAGGGATGCTAGGGCATCCCATAACACAATCCTTACAGTGCTTTCTTTGGGGCTAGGCTAATTGGAGTGAGTGTTGGAAATATTTATTTATTTTATTTCTGATTCTAGTACCTTTGGCACTCAACTAGACCCATAGAAATATTTAGGGAATGTTTGTAAGTACAAACATAAAGTGCAGAACGGAAACAGACCAAATGAAATGAAAATGAGCCGCATTACTGTTAGAGCACTAACAACAAACATTATTGCACCTACATGCGCTCGAATACTAACAAAGTCGCAACAACGTTGCTGGCACACGGCATCATTGCAAAAACACCAACAACTAAAAATATAAGTGCTGTAGTTTTTAGTTTTGCAGAAAAAAGGCACTCATGCCCATAACTTGCGGAAAATAATGAGCTCCCTACGTGCATACACGAGAGCTCGAGATCAATGCACCGTAGAATAAGTTTTGCTTTGTTTTAGTTGGCAAATATTACCTTGATTCATAATAGTAATAAAATGCCACCATTGTATCAGAATCATATGTGAGACCCGTCAAGTTAAGTTTGTACTGGGTATAATATTAATAATAATGTTTTAAAATGACACTCAATATAGACCGTATGAATTTAAAACGAGGAGCTTGGTTCAGCCGACAACTAATAACACGGATTTCCAATTTTTTTTATCTCCATCTGCTCCGTGCTTCAGAAGACACGTTAAGCCTTTGGTCCCGTTTACAGCTGCAGCACCCACGTCTGGCTGCGCATGGTTGGTTAAGATGGCCCGATCTGCCACTACTACATATATGGAAGACCTATCCCACCGCAGTGGGGCATTAATAGGCTTGTGATAAGGATATATTGATAGGTGATGTAATCTGCGTTTAATATTTTTTTTTACATACTAATTAGTCTAGCCTCAAAATAAGCACTGCGAGGCTTGTGTTATTAGATACTAGGGTAACAGATAGAATACATATATAAATATATATATCTAGAAATATTTATATAAACATCCTTGACTTGACAATCCTTTGACTTGGGTACAAATGCTCCCGGGACCTCTCGAAGTCTCGAGTAGGCGACACCTTGAAACCCAGCGTACATACTGTCTGTCACTATGAAGCTAGAATACTGATAATATAACTTGATGTACCCGCAACATAGTTTGCATGGATGTCGGAAAATCAGCATCATACCTACGTAAAGTCTATCAATTTTGGGAAAGTAGCTATCTGCTTTTGTATTGTGCATAAAAAATAACGAGCAGGCAGTCTAATCTGTAAGAACAAACTCACTTTTCACCTCGGAATCCGCGGTGTGATTTAAAATTAGAACACGAAATTTAAATAAATTTCAAATCACACCGGTGAATTCCGCGGTCAAAAGTAAGTCTGTTATTACAAAAAAGCAGGCCTGGCCGCAATCACTCATCGCATCATCAAATAGATATAATGAAATGTACATTGATTGTATTTGGCTTATGAGGTCGACAACCATTTACATATATAATTATGAATATTAAAGACCGCTTATGCGCAAAAAAGTGAGATTAGTCACTTTAAATGTACAATAATTAATTGTTCAGGATTAAATAAAGTATAAAAGAACAATGGTAGGTTCCCATGGCTATATCGCATGATCTTGAATAACTTTATTCATTTCTATTAAAAACATTGTTTATATTGTACAATGATATGATCATTGATTTGATAAAGATAAAAACAAAAATTAAACTCAGAACCTTGTAAACTTGTAACTTGTAAAAAATAAACTAGTAAAAACAAAAAAAAAACAAAATTTCTACAGGTACGGAAAATTTTTAATTAGAGATTTTAATATTGCGATGGGTAACTCTTTTTCATTGCATAAAAAAAGTGTTTATTATTGAAAATTTTTCTTTTTATACAAGTTGAGACTTTGTTGCGTTTTATCTAATTATTAAATTAATATTTTTAAGGATTTAACTGCTAGAATTTTATATGTTAAGAAAATTTTACTAGCTAAAAATTTACTCGGTCATATTTTTTACATAATTTCTCAAATCTGAGCTAACATACATCTTTAATTAAAAACTTTGAGATGATTAATAATTTTAAAGTATTTCATCAATGATGTTATGCTTATCATGAGGAAGATAATTTTATAACATTTATTTGCCAATTTAATAGAATTATAAAAAAAACCCCTCGTAATGTATTGGTCTGAGGTTATTGATCTTGAATTGAGATCGTGGCATGGTATTAAGTGTCGCAAATACGGGCATAAAATATATAAATAGATTTTATAAGCTGAATTTTCTTTTATTTTGGTATTTCATAAGATTATAGTGACAAGCAGGTTGACATTGAGATAATAAATAACGCAACGAGCTTATCATAAGATCTGTTTACAATATCAAGAGATACCAAAGAAACGGTAGTAAAACACAGATATTTACATTGGAATATTACTATTAATAAGATTAAGAACATAATATCTGCAGTTATCTTACATTAAAACAAAAAAATATTTTAATCAAAAGCAGTTATACACTTATTGTTTATTTATATTTATTATTTAAGGTGCCTAGAATATAGTGTGTCTAGAAATTGAGAAATTAAATTCAAATAATAATTACTTTAAAGCATAAGTAACCCAAAAAAACAAAAATCAAATTATTTGGAATAAATTAACTATTGCAAATTTACTCACAACATTAAAATGTACTGAGTGATCATTCAGAAAATACTGTTGCTAAAATGTTAATTTTTGATTTCTAAATAGCTAAATGAAAAAACCAGATTACCAGATTTGCCACTCCGCGGGCTGCCTAGCACCACCACCCTTATACGATTTACTGTCATCTTCATTTGGATAGCTTTAGTTTTACACTGCTAAAACGACAATGTCATTCAACCAGACATGTTTAGTCAAAAATGGGGATTAACACTCAAGTTCAAACATCACTACCACACTTCACAAACGAAAAAAAAAACTCGACAGTATCGTAATTGTTTTCGATGCGTAGTTCGATATGAATCGTTACGGAGTTATAAACGCATGACCATCCGTTGCGAAGTTTCCCGCGCTACTGCCGGCGGGCGTCTCGATCTCGAATACGTCTGCGTCAAATGCGCGTGCGCAACTTGCGTGCCAGCCTATCGCTGCGTACACGAATAAATATGCATTGGCTAACAGTTGATATCCTAATTGATATCTCACATACCATTTCGTACATGATTTGAAGAAATTTATTGTTGATCTTTTGACGTGACAACGTCTTAAATTAGGTTGCGGCTGGGAGTCACTTATGAAAAAGTGTAACGCTCGGTAACGTTACGATGAGTTTAAGTTTACATGTACAATGTTTTAGTAAACAAAATATATTTCTATAGTTAAAATTTGTGCAATTCTTATTTTCATTCAATTCCTTGTTCCTATTGTGCAATTTAATTATATTCATATCAATAAATGTTCTACCGAGAAAAAGACGTTTCACGTAAAATCTTCGCCCGTAAAACCGACTTTACAGGCAACCATTTTTTTAATTAATACAGCCTACATAAAACAAATGGAGCACTTTATGTTTGTAGACAGACAGGCTTGAGTTTGCACCTAATCCGAAATAAGTAGGCAGCTACTTATTAAATATTTTTTAATGTTCCTATTTCTTAATGTCGGTACCTACTTATTTAGGTGGTTCATCTGGACATAAAGTAGTAAGTAATCATATACCATTTTTGAATACCTCATTCCATATGTTTTTCACCAACTTTACAACTCCAATAACTTTCTCGGAATAAAACGAATGCTCAAGCATCTCCTTATATATAGCTCATCACCTTATACAAATGTAATTTCCAAGGTATTCTTTATTTGAATCTATAGATTTTTATACATTCTTTAATCTGACTAAAATATTATCAGAGACACTTTTTTTAATAAATCAAAAGTAAAATGTATAGTTAAATAAAAGTTAAATTATCCTCGATTTATCGATCGAGTATTTGAAATGACAACCAAAATAATAAACACTATTGTATCTGCCTCGGTACTTCATAGATCTATTGGGAAACAAGCTAGATGATTAAAGAAATTATTATACAAAACTGACTTGATTTCGAAGGTCTAGCATACAAAACTACTTGCACTCATTCTTTGATCGACTCTCATCGATACTGAGAAATTTTGATTATACTTGCAACCAACCACATAGGGCAAAGTCCGCTAAGACTTGCGCAACCCGTCCAAAGGTCCGGGACTTCAGATCAATTTGGATGTCTGCACGGCGCGACACCGACATGTCAAGGTGAGAGCGCCCGACGCCCGCCGCTCGCGCTGACAACGTAACCACCTTTCCAAGTTTTAATTTAACTTTTTAAGACTTGTTAAAGTTCTACTTCGAAAGCTCACTTTTACCACTTAGAATAGTACGCGACTTGTTTGTTTACATACTTGTTATACAAACGAACACTGGATTTTTTTTTTATTAGAATTCAAACACGGCCACACCGGAAGTGAAATAAATAAATTGTAGCAAAACGAATCGCGTTCGGCTATAAGCCAGGATCTTTAGGTGTTTTCGATTCATGAGGCATTCATGAAAAATTCACAAAGATAAAAAAGGAATATTAAAAGTGCAAATATTTATTCACCACTCCAAAACTTAACCCAAACCAGAGAAAAACCAAATCACACGAACGATGTTAGGATTAAGGAACTCAACTCTAACGAACGTGTGGCGTGGGAAAATACTGCTGAATGACACATAGAGTCAAGCAATGACTAAGCTTATTATACATATGTATAGGTCTTACGACAATTCGATAAATCGACATTTTGCGAAAATCATAGGGATTTTACGAAAATTAGTTACTCACTGTTAATTAATTTTGTATCAGTCGTTTCTCCGGCCGTCGAAATGTCATCGCCATTGTCTAATAAATTATTATCTGTATTTTTGCGCAAAATTCGATTTTTCAAATTATCCTACGATATATATCGAAAATCATAGGGATTTTACGAAAATTAGTTACTCACTGTTAATTAATTTTGTATCAGTCGTTTTCCGGCCGTCGAAATGTCATCGCCATTGTCTAATAAATTATTATCTGTATTTTTGCGCAAAATTCGATTTTTCAAATTATCCTACGATATATATATAACCTTAAGACAACTAAACGCAGCACTCCGAGATAAACAACTCTTATAGAAATTGATAAATGTAATTTCTGTCCGGTAGTAATAGCACAGACAAAAATTCACTCCGACACTTTGAAAGAATTGAAATACGTTTAGCACTTAGTTACTTGTTTTTAAAATAGCAATACACTTTTTGCTGCGTTTCAATTAAGCTCAGAATAGTTCGGAACAAGGTTCTCGGGAATCCGGAGCACCTAGATCACCTAAAGTTTATTTTATTAATTAACAAAAGTTTTTTTTTGTGGGACATAATAATAAAAAACCAACACGTCGATTATTTATAGGTTATGTGAAAAAAGTGTAAATACAAAAGCTGTATTTAATTTTTTAACCATTTATCTACTTACTAGATAATTAAATGTAAAGATAATTTTACTAAAATAACCCACGTGGCCAGGCAGCAGACCAGACTCGAAACCGCACCCTCCGCTATCCGGGCGGATACACTGACCATTATGACCATATTATGCTACTGCGGGTCTAAAGGCCGTGTCGAATTTCTTCTAGTATTTCTTAGGCTGCAAGGCATCGCCATCTCTTAGCATTGTATGTGACTCACCATGTCAAACGAATACCTTTACAAGTATTAAACATTTGAAATAAGAAATAGCAATTGTAGTTACATATTTCTTTTGTAAACATTTAACTGGTATATGTTTAAACCTAAAGTTTCTTTTACAAAAGTTGTACTTAGATCTTTTGATTAAGTTCCTATAATTTTCTATTAAAGCTTTTTCTATAGAAGTTGTAATTTTCCCTTAAAAGGTCACCCCAACCTTCACGACCTCAAATATTTCGTCGTTTATTATGTGTTCCCTTCCTTTTGGTATGGATATTATAATGTTCCGAATTTTTTTGTTCTAAAAAATTATCAATCCTGTTCTATTGATAGAAAACTACTTTGAATTGTTAGATCAAGAAATGCAAGAGGCATACATAGATACTGTTTGAATTTGAGCTACGGGCTTGCCCTAAGTCCGAACCCTGGGCGCGCCACTGGATCTGAGCATCTAGCTGAAAACGCCGCATAGGTATAAAATATTTCTTTATAGGGTATTACAACGACCACACTAAAAGGCCTTAAAATAACTTTTAACTTTGTGTTTCTTTTCATACTGCCTTTTTCTTCCGTTCTTGTGATAACCCTTAATTTGCTCAACCATTAAGCGAAAGAATCCCATGAAAAGCTATAAAGAAACCTGTCCCAGAGCGGGGTTCGTAGTCCAGTTTGGGTAACATACTACATGTCAAGGTGAGAGCGGTGGCAGGCGCCGTAATAAATTCACGCGACCGGTACAGTCAAAGCTTCTCATCTGCAGATATAATTTGACAATGATAACGACTTTACTAACCAGTAACAAGAGCTATATTGGTAGAGCATAGTGTGTATGAGAGTCCGACAATGCAGTATTGTAGGAACGGAACCACTTCACCTACGCATCTGCTACTACGCCACGGCAAGCCATTGCATTAATTCATACTATATTCTGCCCCGACTTGTCTCAACGAACTTTGATGTCATTTTCGTCTCATCTCAGGATCAATATCTTTTGTTATTAAATAACAGCTACTATTCAAAAGAATATCCTCTCGCACTGGTAGATTTTCTGCCATTATTTTAACCATCAAAGGCTCTAAAGGGATTCTTCAAATTCTTAAGTCTGCTTGACAAAGTCTCTGGTTATGTCTATTTGCTATTTACCTACTTGTAAACAACGCGAGAATCGAGATCTCATTTTTGTCGTAAAGATTTGCTCCTAGGTATGCAAAGGCGAAGTGATTCGCTAATGATTTCAAAGTAGGTATTATGTATGTACTAATAACACCAAAGATAACCACAAACACTTTCGAAAATTGAAGAAAACATATTTGCATAGAAGTTAGAGCATGTGTAGGTTTCTACACTCATTAAGGAAGGTTGGTTTAAGAAAAAAACGCATGGCAGACTGGCGACCGCGCGCAAATTGGTCATTACTGGACAACAACTTCCTCGAACAACCTTACAACGTTTATGCAATCGACATAGCATCAGACAGGCTTTTTCACCGCTTGTGCTAAAAATAACTCATGTGTGACTTTGGCAGATGACGGTTGTAACTTAATACTTGCATAATATGCAAGCCGAACATTGCAATCCCTGCATATAAGTTGATTTTGATTCAAAAGAAAGGCTTTTTATTATTTTATGACGATGGTCTCTGGTGTCGTATTCCACACGCCCCTTTTTATTTTCACATTAAATACGAACTGAAAAATAAGAGTCGTTGTAAAGCAACTCGGCAAAACAACCTTGCGACTTGTTCTAATTAAAAGCAAAATAAAAAGTAAAAGTAGATATGACAGGAACTCATAAACATAAAATTGCGGACCACGAATTCGAAACGGACATTTAAAAGTAAATGACCTGATCAATTGTATTATGAAAAATTGTTTTAATATAGTATTGAAAGTATTTACTTAGATAAAAATTAAAAAAAAGTTATTTGTTTTATATCTAGCAATAAAACAGTTGATCAAAAAAACGGACATGTGCTGTTTACATACGCTAGATGTAAAATCTTAAATTAAAAAATTTGAACATGTCCTTCATGACTAGGTACGTCTTAAAGACAACACCTGTGTTAAAATTTAACCCTCGAGGTCAAAATTAAATATTATTTACTTAAATTGTTTCGAAAAATAAATAACAGCTGAATAAAAGAAAAAAATATGTGCAATATGTTTGAAATTATTATTAAACTAATCACTTTAAATGAAACATAAATATAACTATTTAATTAAATTATATTTTTGCAAACAAAAATAAGCTATTACTTAACCACCAAGTTTCATAAAAGTACTTACGATCGCACGCTCCATCTAAGGAATTTTAAGCAAACTACAT